CCGATGGTGTTGGTGGTGTAGACGAGGGTCATGTTCTCCGCCGTCTCGGTGGCCAGTGTGCTGCAGCGTGTGGTGCCAGCGTTGTTGATCAGGAGGTTGAGGCCAGCGCTTCCCACCTCCTCCTGCACCTTCCTGACTGCTGCCTTGATGCTGTTGGGGTCTGTCACATCTGCACGGGGACAGGAGGGCTTGGGGAGAGGCTGGGGGATGTGGTGAGAGGCAGCTCCCAGTCACCAAGCATCTTCCTGGGCCTGGCAGTGACCTGGTTGAGCTGAACAAAACTGAGGGATCCGCCTGCTTGGGTGGTGTTTCCCGGAGCCACCCACGGGTGCCATTAAATCCCCAGGGATTTCATCCTGTTCCCGCCCCAGCACCTACCTAGAGGCAGGCCCTGTGTGCCACGGCTGACAGACTTCGACAAGCCCCAGTGGAAGAGATTCAGGGGGATTCATAGCATCTCTGCACCTGGTGGAGCCCTGGGCAGCTTCAAAGCCCCTGGCAGTGATGCCCCTGGTGTGGGGGCTGCTGTTACCCCCTGCTGCCATGCACTTAGCTATGATAAAAGTAGCAAAAAAATTTAAATATAAAAAAAATATGTATTTTTCCATGCCCACAGCGTGGGATGCTGCTGCTCAGCCCTCCCAAAGCTAGATGGGGATGGTGGCACCCCCAGGCTCTGCGTTTCCCAGCCCACCCCAGGGCTGACCCCCCTGTCCCCCACCCTGGCACCCTCCCTACCTTCCCCTGAGGGTCCAGGCAAGCGGCGAAGAGGTGCTGGGGGGGGCTGGTCTGCTCCAGCAAGCCTTTCAGCAGCCCCAGGCCGAGCCCCCCATCGCAGCCGGTCCGCCGGACGCTCCCCACGCTGAGCTCCTCCATCCCCACCGTCTGCTGCAGCCGGTTGTGCTGCCCCAGCAAGGTTTGGCAATCCTGCTGGTAATTCGGGAGGCGGCACCACGGGTGCTGCTGGGATGGGCGGAGGTGGTGGGGGGCACCGCACCCCCTTTCCTGCATGAGATGGGGCAGAGGGATGCTCTTCTGCATCCCAGGGCTCACCCATCGCCTTGACCATGGGGACGCCTTCCCCCTCCCTGCACCCTACAGCACCTGCCCCCCTGCAACCATGGACACCCCAAAGGGGTCACGGACCCTTCCCACTTGTCCCCTGTTACTGGGGTAACCCCAGGCTACCAGCACATCCATGGGACAGCAGGCAAGGAGATTAATTACAGTACAACCTTTATTAATACTGGAAACTTCACTGTGCATTCGTTACTTGTAGCAGTGACTATGAAAATCGGGGGGGGGCGGGTGGGAAAGAGGGGAATTACCACCA